GGAGCTGCCCCTCGGGAGGAGCTGCAGCCCCGGGGAGCTCTGCCCTCACACATTGAAAAACCCCTTTGGCAATCCATTGGGATTGGATACGGACCCCCAGGTCTGTGCCCTGCTCCCAGCCTTAGTTCAGGGGCTGTCCTTGCTCCCCCCAGAGCAGAGCAGAGCCACAGTGGGAGCAGGAACAGCAGCAGCACCTGAAGCTTCAGAGAGAGGGGCTTCTGGTTCAGCAGGCGCTGGTACTGGATCAGCCAGTAGTTCTCCTGTTTGGTTTCACTCTTTGCCTCCATTTCCAGCTGAAAAACAAACTCATTCACTCAGCAGCCCGAGGGAACGTGGCCAGGGGGTTCAGGGATGGGTGTGCAGGAGGGAACTCCCAGCCCGGGCTGTGCAGGGCCCAGCCAGAGCACTGTGATGGGATCCAACAGGCATTTGTGGCTCCTGCAGGCTGGCCCCACTTTGACCCCACTCACCCAGTCCAGGGCTGTGCATGCCCCTGCTCCTTTTGCCCCAGACCCTGTGGCCTGGTCTCCTGAGGCTCAGGAGAGTCTGGAGACCTTCAGGACAGCAAGACCACAACTCCCATCCCTTGTGCCCCTCCTCCTGACCACTCCCTTCCCAGCAGGGTCACGGATGGTGATGATGGTGCCCCAAGCTGCACCAGGGAGAGCTGCTGTGTCCCTCGGGTTTACATCAGAACTTCCTGGGGTTAAATTGGCCTGGTCTGGACACAGCCCTGCTCTCCCACACTGAGCCATGGACTCTCCCTGCAGCCAAACCAAATGCTTCCTCATCCACAGCACTTCGTGAGGAGCTTCATTACCAGGATTTGTTGCAGTTCTTCCTCCCTTTGCTTCTTCTCCTTGAGCAGCTGCTGCAGGAGGCAGCTGAGTGCCCGGCGCTGCTCCGTGACCACCTCCTGCAAGAGGAGAGCTCTGGCAGCCACATCCCCACACTGCTCCACCCTGTCCCTTCCCAGCAAAGCCCCTGCCAGACCCACAGACCCTGTGGTTGTGCAATCCCTCTGCCCCACAGCTCGGATCCTCTCCTAGCAGGGCAGAACCAAGCTGAACCCACTCCTTTCAGCCCTGCACTGCCACTCTGAGCAGCCCCCAGCTCACCCTGGCTGCAGCAGCTCCTCCTCACTCCATCAGAAGTTCAATCAAAAGTATTCATGGTCCCCCTCCTTAGAATCATGGAATCTTAGACTGGTTTGGGTTGGAAGAGACCTTAAAGCTCATCTCATTCCACCCCCTGCCTTCCTCTATCCCAGGGTGTTCCAAGCCCTGTCCAGCTGAGGGAAGACCACTGAAAGTAGGTCTGGAATCCTGCAGGTAAACAGGACAGGTGAGGTTCCCATGTCTTTGGGATGATTCCTTTCCCTGGGGTCTCACCCCAAGCACACCAGGCAAGGCCAGGCATCCCTGCAGCCACTCCTTGGCAGTGGAGAGTTAAGTGGCTCAGGAATGTCCCACCATGTGGCACCTCTGCAGCTTCACTCCCAGCTCACCCATATCTGAGCAGTGACCAGTGGTCATCAGCCACAGGACTTCAGACGCCCATGGACAGAGGATTCTGTTACACCCTGAAGTTTGGGGAAACCTTCATTGCTCACAAAATCCCAGACTAGTTTGGTTGGAAGGGACCTTAAAACCCATCTTGTTTCACCCCCTACCACAGGCAGAGACACCTTGCACTGTCCCAGGGTGCTTCAAGGCCTGTCCAGCCTGGCATCAGCACCTGGACCTGCACAGGGACAAGGCCCCTGGTTAACAGAGGAACAGCTGCCTCTGCCAGGGCAGCCCCACCTCCAGGTGACCAGAGCTGCAGGACAGAGGAGAAAGGACCTCCACAGAGGGGAGGGGGACAACTGATGACAGGGGGAGCTGCTCCAGCCCCAGGGCCCAGCAGGGACCCTTTGGGCTGCACAGCCCCAAGGGCAGGGGGATCCACAGAGATTCAGGTGTTCAGGCCTCGTTCCTCAGCTCCTGGTGCTGAAGCTGCAGGTGGGTACCTGGGCAGAGCCCTGTTCCTGCATTGCCCTGCAGCTCCTGTGCTCACAGGGTCACACCTGGGCTGCCCTCCATGATCTCCAGATGGTTCCCATCCTCTGCTCTTCAGAGTAGCTGTGTGAGCCCAGGTAGCACAACCCAAACCTTACACCTGAAGGATCTAGGACAGGGTTGGGAGACACTGCTGCCTGAAGCCAGCACTTACCACTGCTCTGTGACAGCCTTGGGTGTTTGTCACTGATTTTGAGCTGACTAAACAGGTGACCTGGCACATGGCACACAGAAGAAAACAACTGATGCAAAAGCATCATAAAACAAAATTTAAAGCCAAGCTGCTTAAGCTAAACCTGGTATTCCTCAATGTGTGACTGCTGATGATGCCAAAACCAAAACACAACACAATGTAAGAGAACATGCAATGCACAGCAGGCAGGTGTTTTTGGGACAGCAAACAACTGGAGTGCAAAATCCTTCCCCACCCAGCACACCCAGAACTGCCCATCCCTATCAGGGCTCCTCTGTCTCTCTGCTGAGAATGCCTGGGGGTGTTTAGGAAAAGCAGTGATGTCCCACATTGCCAGGACACAGAGGGGTTGGTGTGTCCTGTGCAGAAGAACCTTCTGACTAAGCATAAAACCATCTGGAAACTGCCAGGAGCAAGAGAAGCAAGTGGAGCAATCCCAGAGCAGAGGGTGGGGTCAGCCCCAGAGCCCCACGTACCTGCAGCGTCTCTGTGTCCAGTTCTTGCCTCTTTAGCTCCAGCTGTGTCAGCTGCAATAACTCTGTTTCTATTAATTTAATCTAAACAGAAGATGAAACATTTTTTACTGACATTTAAAATTAATTTATGATCTTTTAAAATGAAGTCTGACTGAAAAGGGCAGCACAGCAGAGCACTCAGAGGTTGGGGTGATTGCTGTGGGGGGTTGCTGTGCCCTTTGGTGATCTGTGTGCTGAGGGTCCCTCTTCTTTTACCTGAGGAGCTCTGTCCGCCCCCCCCCCAGCTGTCTCTGTCCCCCTCCAACTGTCTCTCTACTCTGAACACCTTCTGCTCAAGTCTGGAAGCTCACTGCCATCAGTTTGTGCACCCAAACCTTTTGCAGTCACTCTGGAAAGTGGAGTCAAGGCCCTTCCAGCAGCACAGCTCAAACCTCAGACTCCTGGGACAGTGCCCTGCTTTCCAGGTCCTCCAGCAATCCCAGAACAACACCTGCTCTTTCAGGTGGGCCAACTGAGACACAGAGAGGTGAAGGGAGTTGCCCAAGGTCCCACAGCAAAGCCAAGATGAGAGCCCAGCCCACTCCTCTGCCAGGCCACCAACTGCCCCTGGCCATGCTGCTCCTGCTGACCCCAGGGCTCTGCCCCTGCACGGGGTGGGAGGGGTCCCAAGGGTGAAAGGTCCAGCCTTGGCATCAAGGAACAAATTCCCTTTGCTAACAGATCAAGAGGGAGCAAAATGAAGGACCCATATGGTGAATTCGGGCAATGATGGAGAGCTGTCAGACAACTCAGAGGCTTCCAGCAGATTGGTCACTGGGGCACTCAAAATATCCAAGCCCTTGAGTTTATCCACCAAATTCTGACCTGAGACTTTTCTGCTGTGTCAGATGAGGAGAGGGAAGATTCTGGAGCACTGTGTCAGAAACCAACAACCTTCCTTCCTGCATCCACCACTGCAGCCTTCCCTTCTTCCTGCACCATCCACTGCCACTTTTCCATCATCCTGCATCATCCACTACTACTTTCTCCACCAGCTCTTGCTCTTCCCCCTGACTAGATCACTGCACCTTCTGCAGAATGGAGCTCACAAAGGCAGGCTGAGAATGGGAAAGAAAAGATGAACTTATGGCTCAAGGTGTAGCTTTGATGTGCTGGATGGAAATGCAGAAGGATGCTGATGGGCTCATGTGGAAGCAGCAGCCCTGCCAAGTACACAGCCTGAAGGAAATCAGAGGTGCAACTGCAGAGCACCCCTGGAGCCAGTGCAGGTCTGTCCTCCAGTGCTGAGGTGACTGAAGGAATGGCAATGCCACCACCTCCAGGAATCTAAAACCTGCTTTGACACTCCCTCCCTCAGAGCTGGGAGACTGCAGTGTGACCAATACTGCCCAACTCTGTTCCAGAGCTCTCAGCAGCACCAGAGCTCTCCATGTTCTCAGACCCTGCTCTGTGCTCACAGCACTTTGCTCTTCCTCCCAGGGTCTCATCAAACAGCAGGATGAGTTGAGGAGCTGGTTGCTCTGTCCTCTGTTGCTGACTCACCTGGTTCCTGATCTGCCTGTGCATAAGATCCTTCTTCACCTGGAGAGCTTCAAAAGCAGCTTTCTGCATCTCAATCTAAGGGACAGGCAAAATCCTGCTTAGTGAAGTGGTTGGTGCAGTTGCTGATGGGCTCAGAAGCTGCTGCCTTGCAGGGACTCAGGTACAAGTCCCTGAGTGGTGCTTGCTCTGAGTAACAGTGTCCTGAAACACAGCTGAGAGCCCAACAGGTAAAGCCCACCCTGGAGACACGCAGAAAAATATTAATGTTCTTCAAACATTCATCTGGAATGCTGTGTGACCCCACCTCTCCTCTTCAGCAGCACTGAGCAGCCAGGCTGTGCTGCAGGGCACAGCTGCCCAGCACTTCTGAGAACAAACTTTGAAATGCTTGTCCCAAGTCCCCCAGGAAACCTACCAAAAGACAGGACTTCTGTCTCAAAATCACCTCTTAATCATCATGGCAGTTTTGCTTCCCATGGTCCATGCTGTCTTTTCTGAAAATTTGCATCTAGATAAATATAATTTTTTTCAGCCACCCAAGTTCGTTTGTCAGAATAGCAGATATTCTCAAAGTTTAGCATGTAGTGTTAAATAAAATCATTTCTGCATGCAGCCCAGCCCAGCCACTGCTGCTCCTGTGACCCACTGTGGATCCTGCTCTCCCTCAATCCCCCATGAGCAGTTTGCTCCTTTGCCTACCTGCTGCAAGATCTGACTGACAGCTTTGTTCTGATCCAGCTGCTGCCAAGCCAGGATTTGCTGGAACTTCTGATCCATCTCAGCTAGGCTGCAAAGAGATGGATGTGCCATGGAGTTAATGCTGGGTCTGGGACTCTCGAGGTGAACCAGAGGAAAGCAGGCAATGGAGAATGCAGGAGGAGGAATTTCTTACTGAATGGGGAAGAGCCGTGGCACTGCACAGCTGATGGCCACAAATTCAACACCTCCTTCCCTATAGCCAAACCAAACCTGCAAACAGGCTCCTGTGGACCTGCTGAGCAGGTCACAGGCTCACAAGGCTGTTCTTAGTCAGTGCCAGACGTTGCTAGATTAAAATTTGGCATCTTGTTGTGAACAGTGAGCGAGGATGCTCTCGGTGTGTGCACAACACTCACATACTACTTATGCACACAGAGAATCCTTGAGGCAACCTGGGAGGGGAAGGGACAAGCTCTGGGCTACAGATTGGCATTGAAGTGCCTCAAAAAACAGGAATACAACTGGTCTAACTCTACCCTCCATATTTAGCAGAATGTATAAGGCAAAATAAACAGCATACAAAAGTGACAGTTTCCCCAAAGGGTGATTAACATGCAAATTGTGGTCGTTTGAAGGTGGTTCATTTAAAGGAGTCTGACAGTTTAATTTGCACTGTCCTGTTACAGCTGTCCTGCTGCATTCCAGCAGCTCCAGGGGTTCCTGGTGTACCTATGGGAATTACACTGCTGAAAGAAAGGGATTTAAGACCAGCCCCAGACCCCCCCCCGCACCTGGAGCAGGCCTGGCTGACGAGGTCCTGCCGACGAGACTCGGAGCTCATTTGGAGGAGCTTGTTCTTGTAGGTCTCAGCCAGCATCTGCTGCATGGCAGCTGGGGACAGAGGGGACAGAGGGGCTGTCAGTGCCTGCCTGGCCTGGGTTTGCAGAGCAGGACTCGCCCACCACTGCTGCTGCAGCCACTGCAACCAACAGTGGCTCCTCTCTCATTGCTCTAGCTCTTCCCATTTCACTGATTCCAGAGCACACCCATCCACCTGAGAGCTGTGGCTCTTTATTGGGAACAGAGCAGAGAAAACTCCACTCTGCCTGTGCCTGCACCTCTTCACTCCTCAGAGAAGCCCAGTCACTGCCTGCCAGCCATGAGATCACAGAATCTCTGGGAAAGTAGGAAGGGTCCCACAGGGACAGTGCAGCCCCTGTCCCTGCCCAGACCCCCCACCAATCCCAGCCTGTTCATCCCTGGCAGTGCTGTCCAAACGCTCCTGGAGCTCTGGCAGCCTCGGGGCCGTGCCCATTCCCTGGGGAGCCTGGGCAGTGCCCAGCACTCTCTGGGGGAAGAACCTTGCCCTGAGCTCCAGCCTGAGCCTGCCCTGGCCCAGCTCCAGCCGTTCCCTGGCTCCTGTCCCTGTCCCAGAGCAGAGAGGAGTTGGGCTCTGCCAGTCTCAGAGGGACACCACCTTCTGTTTCCCTGGAGAAACACATCTGGTCATGGTCAGTATGAGCAGAAAAGACTTCCCAGCACCCAGACATGAATCTGATGGATTAACAGGAAGCTTGGCTTGAGCCCCATGGAGAACAGGCAGGGAACTGCAGGTGGAAGCTTTGGATCAGTGGCACATGGGCAATGCTGCTCCCTGTGCCCATCAGGGAATGTCAGAATGTGTGTGCCAGAGCATTTCCTACATGGGTGCCACCTACCCAGGGCATCTCCAAAGGAATCAGGTCTTTCATAGAATCCCAAAATCATTAAAGTTGGAAAAGACCTTTAAGATCATCAAGTCCAACCATCACCACCACCATGTTCACCACTAAGCCATGTTCTCGAGTGTCACATCCATATGTTTTTTCAATACTTCCAGGGATGGTGACTCCACCACTGCCCTGGGCAGTCTGTGCCAATGCCTGATCACCCTTTCCATGGAAAAAAATTCTAATATCTAACCTAAGCCTTCCCTGGTACAGCTTGAGCTGTTTCCTCTGTCCCTTGCTCCCTGGGAGCAGAGCCTGATCCCCATTTGGATACACCCTTGTTTCAGGGAGTTGTAGAGAGTGAGAAAGTCCCCCCAGAGCCTCTTCTCCAGGCTGAGCCCCCTCAGCTGCTCCTGGTGCTGCAGACACTTCACCTCACCTCCCCAAAGCCCTGTCTGGACTTACAGGCCACTTCCCTCCTGCGCAGCTGCTCTGTCTCCTCCTGGGTTATTGCCATCAGCTGCTCCATCCTGATTCTGCCAACAAACAACAACTCAGCCACTCCTTCAAAGGAGCCCCTTCCCTCTACCCACCCAGCTCAGAGTCTCAAGGCTGGACAGGTTCACCCTGCTCAGGAAAGCTGGGCTTATCAGAGACACCAAATCCTCAGTGATTTTTTGCTGAAGAACCTCTAAGTTTTATGGGAGACAAGATAAAATTTGCTCAAAACCATGGGGACAGTGGCCTTAGGGACAGGCAGAATATCAATACAACGTGCACATGCTCTCCCCAAACAGTGCCAGACCCTTCCTTGGCTTTTCTTTCTCCTGAGGATGAGCCCAAGTGAGCAGTGACACTTCAAGCAGCAGCCTGGCCTCCCTCCCCACTAGCCCTGGCGTTGTTCCAGAACATTCCCCCCACCATTTACCAGGTCAGGAGCTGGTGTGGGTGGGGAACAATCTGACAAACAATTGGATGATGCTCACCCAGTTTACTGGGCCACAGCACAGTTGGCTGAAGGGAGGGGGCAGCTCATAGGCATGGCAGAGCTGGGGACAGTCACTTTTGGTGGCAGAGTTAGCTGAGAGTGCTGGCTGAATGGCAGATTTGTTTCCCACCTACTCCTCCCAGCCTGGAGACGTTGCTGGAACACCTTCAGAACTGCCTTGCTTGCCAGCAGATGGAGGATCTCTCTTGGACCCTGATATTGGAATACAGAGTTTTGTTCCCAAACTCATTATTTCAGACTATTCAGAGATGAAAAAGAGGTAAAATCACCCTGTCACTGGGTGTGCCAGACTGGGTAGGACCACTGAGTCCAGTGTCTTGCCTCCAACAGTGACCAGAGGCAGCTGCAGGTATGAGATGAACCTCACCTGACTTAGGGTGGATTCAGACTGGTGACTCTGAAAAGAAGCTCCCAGCCCTAGACCCAGCTTCTTACCCCTTTTCCACACAATTTTGTTTCAAAGAGACTCACCTCTCATTCTCCAAGGACTTTAAAATGTCTGAACTTTGTTTTTGCCTAAAAACAAAGATAAAACAAAAAGTTTTCATCAAGCTGAGTAGAAGATCAGAGGGCAGAATCACAGAGTCACAGAATATCCTGACTCGAAAGGGACCCACAAGGATCATCCAACTCCAGGCCTTGTACAGGACAACCCCAACAATCTCCCCATGTGCCTGAGAGAAAATAACTTTGCTGTCATGCAAAGCAGAGCAGCTTTCAGCAGGCTGGGCACCTCCCATCAGCACCAGCTCACATGGAGACCCAGCAGACACAGGCAGGGGCACCTTAACATTTCAAATTTCCACCTTCCATGAGGAATTCTAATTCCTTCCATAGCACTGCAAAATCTCAACATCACACATCTATGAAACAGCTCTTTTAAGACGCAAATTCCATGTGCTTTGAATGGGTCTTTGGCACTCCAGGACCTAAGGCAGCTCCTCCAGACATCAATCCTGACCAGGTCCACAACACTCAGCTGCTAAAAACAACATGCCAAAAAAATCAGAGCAAGACCCCTGGAACCCCACCTCTGGTTGTCCTCCAGCAGCTTCTGGATCCGGCTGGCAATGCCCTGCTCTGTGTCCTTCAGCTGCTGCAGCAGCTTCAGCCTCTCCTCCTCCAGATAGCGCTGGTGCTTCGACAGACCCTGCTCCAGCCTCTGCTGCTCCTGCCCAGAGCAGGGAAACCAGCAGAAGGTGGTGGGTTTGGGGAAGGCAGAGGGTGCCCTGGCAGGGCCCTGCCCAGCACACTCACCTCCCTCACTGTCTGCAGGATCTCATCCTTGTGGCTGCTGAGCTGCTGCACCAGCAGGGCCTGCTCTCTCTGCCCCATGCTCAGGCGCTGCTCAAATTCCAGCTTCTCCTGAGTTTTCCTTTCCTGAGAGGAATAAGAAGAAGATGAATGACAGGAATCTCCTTTATCAGCAAGAACAAATTCTGTGAAAAAGGTAAAGCAAGACACAGCAGTCCCTGGCAGAGAAGAAGGCAAGGCAAATGGCAACAGGAGTCTTGTCTAGGGGAGGGGAATGTTCTCTCCTTGGGAACCCAAAGACTGGGAAGATGCTGCTCTTTTTCTAACAGCCTCCAAACTCTTTCATGTCATGAAGCTGAATTCCCTGAGCACCAACTGATACCAAACCAGCCAATATAAACACGTGGAGGGAAGCCCAAAATGCAGGTTGGGTTCAGTTCCACATGGCACAGGACTCCCTTGTCTGCTGGAAGCAGCCAGCTCTGAGCAGCTTGAGCCAAAGGCACCAGGGAACTGCATGGCAGGAGCTTCTGGTTATTTCAAAATGAGCTTTGCACAAGAGAAGAGACAGAGACCAGAGAAACAAAAAGAACAAACTAAAAGTGCAGCCAGGTGAGAGAAATGAGAAACAAAATTCAAAGATGGAAAACAAAAACCAGAAGCAGACCCATGCTGCAGACAAAGCAATTGCAGGAGTTGATCCTTACCTTCCTCTTCTCATAATCCAAGAATTTGTTCTGAAAAGTAAGCAATATCAGCAGCCATTTATTCCCAGAAGTACTTTTTTGTAGATATTATTAGTCCACAGTACAATCTCCCCTAACTGAGTGAAGACATCAACCAAAGGCAACAACACAGGCCCAAAGTCCAGTCACTCAGGCTTCTCTAGGGGCAAAGGCATTGACTCTGCACTTGCCAAACAGCACAGGAATCAGCACAGTTACCACAATTATTGGCCCAGCCTCCTCTTTCTCAGGAAGGGCTGAACATGTCTAGCACAAGGAATCACAAGGTTCTTCTGCAGTTTGCTGTCCCCTCAAAAACAGACGTCACACACTGCACATTCCATGTCCCACTGCCAGCCCTGTCCCTTGGCTCCATCATTGCTTCCAAGGATGGAGACAGTTCCTTGGGATGTGTCTTCCAGCAGCCAGAGTGGTGACACCAGCCCCAGCTCAGCTAGGAGATGAGCCACCCTTGCACACACTGTGTCTGGCTGCTCCCTTGATCCCAAAAGACACAACTCACGGAGGGGAAGGTGATGAGGGATGATGTGCTAAGTGCTGTGAGATGCTTTGGTGGAGCACAGAGGCAAATCCCAAACCCTCTGGTGCAGGGGAGCCTCACCTGCCACTTGCTCTCCTCCTCCAGGTACTTCTCCACTGTCCTGTCTACCCCATCCACTGAAGTTCCTCCTCCATCACTCTCCAGCGTGGGGAGCAGGTACTGGGAGGGAGGGTAGTATGCAATTCCACACTCTGGAAGGCACCAGACACAAAATAAGAACATTTGGGGCTCAAAGACCTCCTTGGCACCATGGCTCAGAGCTGGCTGCACTGCTTCCAGCTGTGCTCCCTCTGCCCACACACCAAGGAGTGCCTGGCAGGGCTCCTCCAGCTGAGGCAGGATGGACAAGGAGCTCTGGGAGGGGGTGAGGCCACTCCATCCCCAGCAGGACAAGGATCTGCTCAGACACAAACACATCCTGCACACAGCTGCAGGCCTGGTGACTTCTGCAGTGCTGCAGATGCTCCTGCCCAGACCAAAATAAGTTCTGACTACACCTTGCAAGGCACTTAACACCCCTGCATAAAACCTCCACCAAGACTCCCTGTCTGCACTAAACACAGTGTCTACAAACTTAGAGTAAATTCCCTTTGTCATTTGAGTTTTCCATCTGTTTTCATCATTCTCATAACAACCTGCAGGGCCCAGGTCCTTCCTCAGAGAAAATTAAGGCATCAGGGACTTTGAGTGACTCCTGGGCCTCTCTCCTTGTCCCAAGGCAGTGACAAAGTGGACAATGTCTAATCCTCCCACAGCAGAAAATGCAAATAACCACGGGAGATGCACTGACTTTTTATGGTCACTGAGACAGACTGACCCAGCCACTCTGGTTTTTAACAAAGCTCTAGACATTTCAGTGTGGCTGGGCTCAGGGAAGGACTTGTGCTGTGCTGTTTGCCAGCAAAGACAGGTGACCAGGTGTGCAGGGCACCAACAACCACCCCAAGCAGAGCCCACACAGTGTGTATCCTTCAGAAATGCCATCTCTGGGCACACCCCAGGTGCTCCTGGCTTACCTTTGCAGAGGAACTGCTGGATGGCCTCTGTACCCACACTGCAGATCTCAGGGGGTGGGTAGATCATGGCACAGGCATCCAGGGTCAGCGTCTCCAAAAGAGAACACACAGAGCTTCAGGTTCCTCTGAGTCCAGACAAAGCCCAGCTGCAGTTCTCCTTGCAGCTCCCCAAAACCTTACTTCATGTTACCCTAAATCCTGACATAAATGCCAGGCTGTTGAATCCCTGATGGGTATCTGGGACCTTTCACAGATGACTTCACTGTCCCTTTTCTGGAAGCTTCTGACCTTCTGTCCCCTCATTGGAACATTCCCCTCATGCAGGCACTGACACTTCAGGTTTAGGTACCAGAGGTCAGAGCACTTCCCAGCTGCAGACATTCCCTACTCCACGTCAGGACTTCCCCTCAGCGTGGAAGTGGATGTGATACAAGGACATGGAGAGGAGTCCCATAAAGAATGAGGGGAAGAGCCACTTGTTTTGTCTTACTGTGGCCACCAAAAGGACCTAATGTTGCCTTCTGTAGAGAAGGGCATAGCAGGAAGGCCTAGAAAGGAACAACTTTACCAAGAACAGGGGGCAAAGCTGCACAGATGCCTGAACTCAGGCTGTCCTCATGAAAAGTGAAGCAAAATATTTTGTGAGACAGGGGAGCATTTATTCACACCTCCCTGCTGGTGTCTGAGCCAGCTGCTGCCTCACACTTGCACCATTTAGCACTGACAGAGTGGGCAGCCAGAAGGCAACATATCCATAAAAATCTATCAGCTTTTGCCATCCTGCATGTGCATTTCAGAGAGCCATAAACCCATGGAAGCTGACAACGAGTTGGGGATCTGCCAGGGTGATAGAGGCACAGTTTGTGCTCTCAGAGACAGGTAAAATCCATGGTTTCACCCTCTGGGGATTGCTTCTGGCACGATTAAATGGCAAAATGACCAGATTAAATGGTAAAAATGATCAGGAAAAAACAGAGCAGGTACACAAAAGTTATTTTTGGACAGTGTGAACAGCCCTGTTACAATCCCCTGCAGTGCATCCTGCCCAGATCCTAACCACTCCCCCTGCGGGCTGGATTTATTCCCAGCTGAGGGAAGCAGGCTGGGAAGGGCTGGCCCCGGGGCGGGTACCTGCAGGGTTCGGATGTGGGCCAGCACCCGGGGCAGCTCCTGCAGCACGTTGCCACTGATATCCAGAGCCCGCAGGCTCCGCAGGCCACTCACACTCCCGGGCAGCTCCCTCAGCTTGTTCCCTACAGGGACAGAAAAACCAGTTAAAACCATGGAACCTTCCCAAAACAGGAGCCAGGAAGCTCATCTGCTCCAACACCAATCCATAATCACATGTACAGCTCATTTGCACAGGTCACACAGAGACTCAAAGGATGTCACTGCCCACCAAGGGTAAATTGGGATCCAAATCTCCTTCTCAGCCGAGGTCACTGCTGCAGGCTGGATCTGTGCTCTTTATCAGGAGAATATTTGTAACATGGAATGTTCTTCCCTTGGTCCAAGTCCCAGGGATGGGAGGAAGGGGACTGAATGTGAATTGCACACTGCAGACAGACAGGCAATGACCTGAGCTGCCCTTCCAAGTTCCTCACTCTCCACTGCCTTCCCTGATTCACCAACAGCTCCACATAACTAAATCTCCTTTTTCTCCCAGATTTATGGCACTGCATAGCTGGAAAATGCCCAGGAGTCTGGAAAAGAAGTGTGCCCTTTGTGCTTGGGCTGTGCAAACCTGGTGGGGATACCAGGCTCACAGGAGCCAGCTTGGCTGTGGGGGACCCAACTGTAATTTGGTTTATCTGGCTGAGTGCTCTGCTTGCTTTAGTGGAGGGCTTGAGGCTAGCATATTTTCTGCTTAGATCATTTCCCCTGCCTTGCCAGCTATTTGAATTAAAACCTTCCTTGTGTTCTTCCTCAGCATTCAGAGTGTAAACCATGTGGTGCTTGCCTTGGTTGAAAGGAATAATTGCAAATGCAGCTCAACATGAGCAGATAATAAATGTGCTTTGCCCAGAGCAATCCCATTCCATACCTTTCACATTGAGGATCTGGAGCTGGGCAAGGTCTCCTAGAGATTGTGGAAGGCTTTTTAAAAGATTCCTTTCAAGGTTTAGGACCTAAGGTATTAACAGAAAACATACTCAAAATATTCATCCAAGTCTCATCTCTTCTA